CACTGTGTAACTGCCTCGAGGGTGCTTGACCATTTTAACACAACGTGGTGCGATCATCCCCCTTGCGCGGAGTGAGGGTTTCTCCACCCCGCACAACATGATCTACTCGACCACCATTATGGGTGGGATTAAAACTCGTTGCATCTGCGGATCGGCGTGTGTTTCCGTTTGGTATGACGTTTATTCCAGGGATCGATTGATCGGATATAGCAGGCTCGTCAAGAGCCAAACGCAGGCACGATATATAGGCCAAGAGGCACAGGGACTAAGATCACGCTCATCGTATCGGAGCTTGTGTCTTGTTTCGTCTAGCGTACGTTACGACAGGGAAGGATTGGATAGCCGGCTCTTTCGTGACGGAAAGGGGGGGTTGTTGAGATGTCGAAACCGCGCGACCGTCTCAGGTGCTTACGATGTTCACGCCCTGACCGCATTAGCGAGCGCCCACGCGCCATTCAGAAAAGTGAAAATACACAAGAACGACAAGGCTATCGAACATAATCGCTCGAAAAATGGGAGCGGCATGAGCACCTGGGTCTAACGTGCGCTCTACGATCTAGCAAGAGTGATCCATCCCCGAATACGAAAACATTGGCTTTCCGATGCCACCGTACACAACAATACGATCGCTACTTTGGCGAGCTGTATCGTAAGCACGGTGATCGCCAATCGGGGCTCAACAACTCGGAGAGGCGCGAACCAGCCCCAGGGTCTAAAACCAAAAGTTTATCACCACGTACCATCTGATCTTTCTTGCTCCCTAGGTTGATCTTGTGTACCCGTTGGGTATTACCAGTGTCGGCGCCACTCCTACGGCCGCTGCGACGTTTCTTCCTCGTCATCTTGGGTTGGTCCCCGTCATGCTGCCCCCGTGCCGCCGCACCGCCGCCGCCGCCGCCGTCCATTCCCGCCCCCGCCTGCCCCATGCCCGGAACTCCTCCCGCTATCGGTGCCGCTGTCGCCATCGCCGTCGCCGACGAGCCGGCGGTCGCTGAAGTCTCCGCCTCAGACCCCAGCGAAGGTGTTCCGGAGACCGTTCTAGAGACTGTTCCCGAGTCAACGGAACCCGAAGTCAGCGCCGCCTGTGTTGAGCCTGCTAGGGAGCTAATGGCGCTTGGCGAGTCCGACAGCGTCCGTTCACCGTCCATTGTGCCCACCTTGACCGGGATCAAAGCCATCGGCGGTGGCCGTGTCGCCGCGGCGGCCGCCGGCGCTATATCGCGCGCCACCGGAGCGCCCCCGCCGCCACTGTCCCCGTCTGCCATTGCGACTAGCGGGAGGAGAGCGCCCGGCGAAGTGGAGGCACAGCTAGACCCCCGGGACAATCGCCGGTCATCGTCGACGACCGGTGTCAGCGTAGCGGAGAGCGGAGGAGGCACCGTTGGCGCGGCGCTTAGCTTCCGCCGCCGCCACCCTTTGATCTTGCCCTTGAGCAATGCCACGGTCGGGGCGGCAGCGGCGCCGGCTGATGATGTGCCGTTGCCATCGAAACCGATCGCTGGAACAGTCGCCGGTGCAAGCGGCTGCAGCCCTATCGAACAGCCACTCGCCGCGGGGCCCAAAGCTGCCAAAGCGGCCCCGCTTGCTCCAATGCTGCTACCGCCGCCACCGCCGCCGCGCGATCGCCTCCTCTTGCTCGCACCGCCGAAGAGGATCCCTAGCCGCGATAGAGTTCGCCCCCGCTCCGCCAGAGCCCCCCCGTCGAGACCGACGCCGCTGCCGGTTGGGACGTCACCAGTGGAGTACGAAACAACCGCGCTCTGGACGCCGCCGCCGGTGCTCACAGAAGCAGCGGTAGGGCTCGGAGGGGTCGGGGGAACATCGGCCAGCCTGGACCGCCGCCGGGGCCGCCGCCGTATTTCCTCGGCGACATCCGCAGCCGAGGGAAGCGGGAGCACGGCGGGGAGTCGGCCGCCGCCGCCGCCGGTAGCCTTTGCGCTTGGTGGTTCTTCGAGGCTCTGCAGGTTGCGGGGCGCGCCGCTGCTGCCGCTGAGGCTGTGCTCGTCGTACGTCCCGAGGCTGCTCACGCTGGGGTCGAGGCTGGCATCGTCTTCTGGGTCGCCGACTCCGCCGCCGCCGCCGCCGCCGCCGATCTTGCGCCGCGGGAGGAGGACCAGGATTTCACCGCTGGGGGGCCCGCCGTCTAGGCTCGTCTCGCCGCCGGGGGGGTCGGCACTGATGCTGCTGCCGTCCAGGCTCGTCTTGCCCCTGGGGGGTGAGTGAGGCAAACGTACAACGCCAGTGAGGGGGATGAGGAGAAAGGTGATTTGCCTCACAGAAAGCTGAGAGAGTGTGTCCCAACAAGCAAGAGCAGCGCTTTTTACCTTTTCGCTGTGCAAAAGCTACACCGCGTTTTTTTTTCGACCATCACGTGCTCTACTCCCACCGGGAGGGGCAAGACTCACCACACCCGGCTCAAAACAGCGAAAATTCCATAAACCACGGACGCATGTCCGACGGAAAGAGGACGCACCAGAAACGCCGCAAAACCAACTCCCTCGACCTTCAGCTCGTACAACGACGTTAGCTTTCTTGCGTCGGGCAACGCCAAAACAAAATTCTTAAACCTCTCCTCTAGCATGCCCCAACCCCCCCCCAATCAATGGTCAAATGACTACG